TTTTTCTCAATTGTGCATAATCACTCCACAGCAATACACAAAGGTTTATGATTTTATCCCTCAGATTCCAGCATTTACTACATTTACACAGTTAAGAGGAATGAGGGGGGAGAAGAGCAAGAAGAAGGGGGAGCAGTGGTTATGTAAGCTAAGATTAAGCTTTCTCAGAGTAAGAGGGATGGGTGTGTGTGTGTGCTATGTTGAACACATTGTTTTTGTTTGCTTTTCCATTCTAGTGTGTAGAAAAGACATCATGAAGCTCTATACGAATATAAAAATGCATATTGTTTATCTTAAAAGCTGATTTATATTCCACCTCAATTAGTTTACATGTGTTTTATTGCTATTGTGAAATAAATTTGTAACAATTCCCAGGTTTTATTGGAATCCAGGTATTTACTGTCTGGGTTTGTCTTTGCACACTGTGAGCTTCTTATGGCAGACTTCTGAACGGAGGAGACACTTTTCAGTATGTGGTGCAGCAGCCTCGGTACAGACTAACAGGTAGACTTACTGGGCTAGCATCAGCTGGATTACTATTGTCACCATTATCATCATCATAATATGAGAAGTATGATCACATTTGCCCCTTTGTCACAGTCATAACCAAACACCAGAGCTTCTTCAACCGTTATTGTTTGTCATTTTGATCTTATTCACTGTTGCTACCATCTAACTGTACCATCACTGTCATACATGGGAAAGAGACTGCAAATATACATATTTATTATTTTATTTTTTATTATTTTTTTATGATGGGACAGTAGAGCAAACAGGAGAAGATGGACAGAGAGTGAAATAAAACCCAGGCACCTGAAGTTGCCTTTAAGGCTATTTGTTGCTCAACCCACTGAGCTAAATAGGCACCCCTGGATCCTGCAAATATATTATGAAAGAAACCACTGGTGGCCCTCTGTGTTCATGCAAAATGACTGACACATTTTATAATGGAGACTCAGTGATTTTATGAACACCAACTTGCCATATTCAAAAAGAAGCCAATGAAAGAGCAAAATGGAAAACGTGTTTATAACAAAAATGATAAAAAAAGCGAAAAGAAATGAAAAAGATTAACTTTCATATGCTTCTTTTTCATTGCACATAAAGAAAACGATTTCAAGCATTTCTTTTTGAAATTTTTATTACATGGTTTATAGCTCATGAAAGTCAGAAAATCTATGTCAATGAGCACAAAATGGAAAGTCAAGCAGTGATTGTGGTTGGATGTACTGAACTAGGCCAAGAGATGCATTGTATTTATAGTTTGAATGATAATTTTCTTTACTTTACTACTAATGGATGGATTACAGACCATAACTATCAGAATTAAAGCAGAAAAATGCTTTAAACCGTGTCTGAGTCTAGAATATATTTCATTTCACTTTCTCATATTACTGATGGAAAATATTGAGCTTTTCTCCAAGAGTCAAATCTTCTGTTGTACAAAAAATAAAGATTGAAGTTGAGCTTTACTGTATATTTGCAATCCCTCTTTCATGTCTTCAGCTTTTCCAGCTCATTGATTCTCTGACCTGCGTTCACTGCATGGAATTCATGATTTGTGTTTTACCTAATAACCTGTTGTTGTCCTTTTGTACTCATTGCTCTCTTTTGTAATAATTATCAAGTCATATTCCTCTGTGGTATTTGTAACAGGTGCATCAGATGTCGGCAGCGGTGATTATGGGAGTTACATCACAGATCCTGGGGTCAAAGATGAAGATGGCTTTGACATTGATGACTCTGATTATGATATCTTCATTGAAGAGGTGTGTTTTTTACAGTCCAGAGCTAAACTGCAGCCCTATTTTCTGTTTGATTATCACTCACTTCATTTTTTTCTCACTGATTTTCTCTCTTTTCTCTCCTAGCTGAAGCCATTTCCAGGTATAAGTCAGGACAACAGGAAGTCCCAACTGCGTTCACACTCTGGTCCCCCATCTGGTCGAAATGTTGTTTACCGCATGAACACCATGACTCCTCCAAATGTTACAGCTGCACCAGTTTCCACCACCACATCATCCATCGTTTCAGAATTTACAGATCTGCTGTTCCCAGTCACTTCACAGCCCAGTAGCACTCTTGAGACCAAAACTACTGCCCCACTCACACCTACCAGGTAAGGCTGATGTTAAATATACCTTTTTAAAATGATTATTTAATTTAATATCTGTTTTCCATCAAGGATTTGTTTGTAATTTCTTGTTGTTGATGAGATTTCAAAACCTTTTAAAGGCAAAATTAACCACTTATAGATTTTTCCTCGTGAACAGAAAATACATCTTTTACTGCTCTTATGCTCACAGTTTTTCTCCTTAGTCTGTGATTGTGATTATTATATTTCCATCTCTCCTGGCTTTCTGCTTTTCCCCCCTTAAAAGCTTCCTAGAACATGTCTTTTTGTGCACTTAATTATTTGATAAAGATGGCGAATGGAGCAGTGAAATGTCACACATGTCTGGTTGTGATGTACTGTATGTCATTATCTGCAGCAATATAAGGTGGCTTGGCCACTGTTCTGTTGATTTTGGGTGAGCACTTTGGGCTTTTTGCTGTTTGTTCCTTTCCTTCAAGCAAAAAAGGAACAATTTACAATCAAATGCCACCTTTAGAAGACATACCTAAATACACGACAAAATATATTGCCCCTTAGGTTACTGTAACCCCAACTAGCAACAGATTACTAAAGTTCCTTATTTTTCCTTACTTTCTTTCTCTTTTTATCCTCCGAAGCATCCCTTTGTCAACCACCACACCTACTACGACCACGTCCCCCTGGAAAGGCGAGGTACCTCGTATGTACGACCTGAGCTGTGATGATACTGTGTGTCCGCCCGACAGCTTCTGTCTCACTGATTACGAAAGCGGCGGTTCGCGCTGCCACTGCAACCTTGGACGAAGAGGGGACACGTGCTCTGAGGGTAAGAAAGATTTCTGAATCTCTTTTGTTAAAAACATTTTATGTCAGCTGTGCTCTGATAGTGTAGTGGCTATTTTGTCAAGGTTGCAAGAAGTGTCCCTTTCTTCTTCCAACCCATGGGTGCTCTTACTTCTCATTTGTCATGATTTTTCTTTTCATTTGTCCTCCTTCAGCGTTAACAGTGAAGTTTCCCAGATTCCATGGCCACTCTCACATGACCTTTGAACCCTTAAAAAACTCTTATCAAACCTTTCAGATTACTTTGGAGTTTAAGGTAAGATATCACGTTTCATATCTTTTTTTTTTTCTATCAGTGATTAAAATAGATTTCAGACGGTTTCTCTTTGGTGCAGGCAGACTCTGAGGATGGGTTGCTGCTGTACTGTGGAGAGAATGAACATGGCCGTGGAGACTTTACTTCTTTGGCTTTGGTTCGGGGGAAGCTTCATTACAGGTGAGGAACATGTCAGAATAACATTAGCTATCATGTACTGTTTATCAAAAGAAATAAATGTGCACTGTAGGGTGCATAAGATTTAGAGATGGGATTTTTCCTTGTCTGTAGCTATGATGCTTACCTGCCAGATTCTTGTCTCTGCAGGTTTAACTGTGGTACAGGAGCAGCTCAGATAGTCAGTGAGAGCCGCATTGTTCTCGGTCAGTGGCACACAGTAACTGTCTTCAGAGATGGCATGAGTGGCTGGCTCCGTATGGACAACGACACACCCATATCCGGACGATCACAGGTTATAATACAAAGAAAATGAAAAATGTCAAATTGTTTTTTTTGTTTTTTAAAAACATATTTTAAGTTAAACAGTGATTTAAATCATACTGATACAAGATGTGTCATCAGTCAGGTGTAATGCTACAGTCACTCAGTGGCTGGAGACTGCAACTCTACTAAAATTAGTGCAGTTGTGTGCAGTGAACTTCCAGTCTTGTTGTCTTTGCAATGGTTGCTTTGAAGACAGGGACCAGGTCTGCAACCTCTTGCAGTCAGTTGTTGTCTTCAAAGTGATTTTGGTGTATAGAGACGGCGATCAGTCTGCTCAGTCGGCTCAGTCGGCTATCGAATGGGATCAAGTTGGCTATTACACGCACTCTGTTTGTGTTTGCCATCTAGATGCACAGAAACTCAAATTAACTGCTTGCATTCTTAGTCTAGTGGATTTGGAACAGAAATTCAAAAACGTCTCCACAAATAGTAACATAGTTACTGCAGGATGGTAAATTGACACAGGCGCTCTGCAGGTTTGCTTTTATATAGAAATATAACCAAAATACAACCAGTTTGAGTGCACCATTGCAAAGAGACTCGCCCCAGATGAGTTGCAGTCATTAGCACAGGCTGACTAATGTTGATTGTAACATGTTGGCAACATGTCCGAGTCAAACTGTGATGGTTTGCCTCCTACCAGGCAACCTGTAAAGTCACCCTGCGAATAAAAGTGATTGCCCAGAGGTTTAAAGGTGCTACACTTTCATCCTCTGGATGACCAGTTGGTTCCTGTAACTACTTGCACCAAAACTGTTGGTGCATATTGTCAAATATTGTCTTACAAGGGGTCAGACTATCCTTAAAATATAAATAAAGAGGTTTTAATTTCTTCATCTTGTCCTCGTAGGGTCAGTATAGTAAGATCACTTTCCGCTCCCCATTGCATGTGGGTGGATCTCCAAGCGCTTACTGGCTGGTTAAAGCGACAGGGACAAATCGTGGCTTTGTTGGCTGCATGCAGAGTCTGACCATCAACAATAAGGCTACAGACATCAGGCCCTGGCCCCTGGGCAGTGCTCTGAGTGGAGCTGATATAGGTAAGGAAGCACACAGGATGTGAGAGAATTTGTGTGGTGAATGTTATTTTAATGTGGCCGCTGCCAGTGGCACTTGGCTCTTATCCATATTACCCACAGTGCACTAGGTCTCCTGAAGTTTTGGTGCTCGGTTGAGTAGCTGAACAGTAATTCTAGAGTTTGGCTGTTTGGTTTTCATGCATACAGTAAATAACTATAATCATTAGTGGGCATAGTTTGAATATGGATGACAGTGTTTATTCATCACACCACCCGGTGTTAGTGTTATTTCACTTTGCTTAAAAGAAAAAATGAAAGCAGACCATGTCGTGGTGTATAATGAGAGCATTAAAATATCTGACATTAACAAAAAAGACAAATCCAGTGATATAAGAAAGGAATTGTTGCCACTTTAGATAATTTTCTGTCACAGCGACAGACAAAAATAGCTTTTTAATAACAGGGTTTTAGCCAATATGTCACTGAAGCAAGAAGCAGATTGTTTTTTGGCAAATTATGGAACACAAAGGACTTTTTCACAACATGATTTTATGAACGAGGTAAGAATATTAAATAACTTTTGTAAGAAATTAAAAATCACTGAAAGTCTTTTTTTATATAAATATACCCCATTCATACAAAACAGGCAAACAAACAAACAAAAAAAAAAACTCATATAGTTTGATTGTGCGTGTTGTGTGAGTGTTGTACTCCTGCTCACTTTTCTGTAGTTGGAGCAGGATTGTTTATAGGAACAATGCAGTCATGGAAACTGTATTTATGTTGTAAGTGTGTACAAACATATGCAGAGTACATATGCTGGCTTTGTCCTAATGTACCAGGTGAGTGCAGTGACAATGTGTGTGACCTGGTCAGCTGTGCCAATGGCGGAGTCTGCTTTGCAAATCGTGCTGATGGCTACATCTGTCTGTGCCAACTTGGCTTCAGAGGAGCACTTTGTGAAGAGAGTGAGTCAACCATTTCTCCTTTTTCCCCCCCTCATACCTACAAAAGCGCGCACACAAGCATCCAGTTTACAAGGAGAGTTTTGAACAGCTGTGAAAAAAGGAAAAATAAAATCCCTGCCGTTTCTTCTTACCTGCTGACTTTCACGTATTGTCACATAAACCTTTCAAGGTAATTACTCAGCAGTTGAAGAAAATGCCAAGAAAATCGATTGAAATAAGAAATATTTCTCATATGCGGTAGAAGGATTGATTGCATGTCAGACCAGCTTTCACACAAAATAGCCTTTCACTTTTTCCTCTCCTTAATATATCTCTTCCTACAATCTCATTGTGTTGTTATCAACGTTTTTCCTCTTCTTTACATTTACTTATTTTCTTGTGTCTTTTCTCCTTTTCCTCAGGTTTCTCACTGTCCTCGCCACTCTTCAATGAAACAGTGTTTTCATATGCCGTCATCCCATGGCCTCAGTCCGCACAGAGTTACCTGTCCTTCACTGAGTTTGAGGTGACGTTTCAGCCGTCAGCCCCTGATGGAGTGCTGCTGTACAGTGATGACGCAGGGAGCGGGGACTTCCTTGCTATAAACCTGGTGGACAGATATGTAGAGTTCAGATTTGACTGTGGCTCTGGAGGAGCTGTCATAAGGTGCTGGATAGAGCCAAGTTTTGAATCTTCTTTTCACATTGGTTTTACATTATCTAACTAGATATACTAAATGTGTGTTATTGTGTGTTTCAGGAGTGAGGAGCAGATAAGTTTGGACTCATGGCATGAGCTAAGAGTATCACGTACAGCAAAGAGTGGTATCCTTCAGGTGGACAGCCAAAGACCTATGGAGGGGATTGCTGAGGTAGATTAAAGTCCATTAGAACCATCTGCAAAAACTATGTTATGTTATTATTAGAAAAAATATATATTTATAGAAAATATACTTCACAAAAAACTCAACTGTATAGTTTAACGGGAGAAAGAATCAAACCACAAGATACTAGAAGCAAGTATAAGTACGAGGTCTTTATAGTCAGGGTAGATTTCATACATGAGAGGCAAGTGACAAGTGGCCAAAAATGCAGACAGCTGGTGGGAAACTAACCAGATACAAAAAGTAAAACTGACTGAAATACACAGAACTGGGGGATTTCAAAATAAAACAGGAATTAATTTCATTAGAAACCTCAATGCATGATACGCACACACCTTATTAGTTTCTAAGGCATGTTTAAGTGACATTTGTATTAGAACAATCACTTGTTAAAGTCAACTCTTGAATGTGCAACACTTAATCACCTTTTAGCCGTGGTTTGGTTCTTAAACTCCTGAGAAAAATATCAGGCTCTCTTTGACCAAGCGAAACACATCCAGAGTTATAGATTTTTAAAACATGTATTTATTTAAGCGGATGTGCGGATGAATGGTTTGACATGATCCACCTGTTTCTCTGCTGTATTTATGTTTCAGGGCGCTTTCACTCAGATCAACTGCAGCTCACCTCTCTATATTGGTGGCGTGCCAGAGTACGATAAAACCAAGCGGACAGCAGGTGTAATAAAACCCTTCACTGGCATTATTCAGAAGGTGATTGCTTTTTTTTAGATATGCCAACATCAGTGATCTGCAACACAGTTATATTTGCAAGATTGTTACTCAGTCATTTCCAATCCATCAAGAGTGACACAGCAGCATTACATTATATATGATGTATACTGCGTACAATCTCCAAGCTACTGTGGCAGGTGTCTGATTTTAGTTTGGTTTTTTTTTACAGTCGCGCTCTTTCATTTTGTCCTTTTCCTCTCTGTGCTCTTTTCTTTTCACCCCCTCAGCTAATACTCAATGATCGCACCATCCCCATAACAACTGCAACTGCTGGTGGAGTTAATGTAGCCAATTCTGCACACCCTTGTGTGGAAAGTCCATGTGCCAATGGAGGATCCTGCAGGCCAAAGTGGGATGGATATGAGTGTGACTGCCCTCTAGGGTACGACGGCAGGCATTGCCAGAAAGGTCTGTTGCATGTGGAATTGTTCTCATCGACAGATGAACTCGGTTGATGTGCAATTTGGTTCACGTCACAGAAATCAGCAGGCTGTTCACACGGTGCTAAGAATAAAATATGCTAATGTTTTTACATGCTACATGAAATATTTTGTGCTTAGTTTTATTTTTTATAATGCTTTCTGTTTTAAATCCACCAATATGACAGTTTTTTCTCATGGAAACTTAGTCCCTTAAGTTTACTTTTTCTTTTTAATGCTTTCATGGAACAGAGTGTGGGAATTACTGTTTGAACAGTAAGTCTTCTTCCCTGATCTCAAAAAGTAGATATTCTTTTCTTTCCTTGTTTGGAAAACACGTAAGATTTCTTTCCCTTCACACATCTTCCACCACAGGATCAGATTTGGTCTTTTCTCTTAGCTGTAGACATAAGTTGACACATGCTGATGCTGCCACCTTGTGATGATATGAAAGGAGCTCTTGTTCTCTTCCCAGCTGTTACTGAAGCCATAGAGATTCCACAGTTCATCGGAAGAAGTTACCTGACCTATGACAACAGAGATATCCTTAAAAGGTTGGTGGGGAAATTCCTGTGTGTGTGTTTTTTAATTTCTAGCTTTTTCATGAAGTGCATTCTACAATCTTTCTACAGAGTATCTGGGTCCAGAACCAGCCTTTTCATGCGCTTTAAGAGCACAGCTAAAGACGGGTTGTTGCTCTGGCGAGGAGACAGTCCAATGAGACCCAACAGTGACTTCCTTTCTATGGGTCTTCAAGATGGCGCTCTCATCTTCAGGTATTTATCACTGTAAAACATGAACGGCACTATAAAAAGAGTAAAATATGTCATGATGTCTTATAATTCTTAATCAAATGTAACTGGATTGTAAAGAAATGCTTTTAGTTCAAGTGTAAATTCTAGATGCCATGTGTTTGCCTTTTCTGTGTTCTTGTGCTGGGCAAAAAATGTCATAAAACAAATGGCAAAAATTTTTTTAGTGCACAAGAAGGACAGTAATAATAGAGTAGGACTGCTGATGCCATCAAGGGGCAGTGAGAGCTACGTGCTCAGCAGAGGTAGAGCTAAAAACAAAAAAAAGGTCTGTGTGAGGACCATGATCACTAAGAGAATCAGGATTTATCAGGCTTGTACCATAAAAATGTAATTCCACTGCAGTCCGCTGTACGTGTATGCATTCCCATGTTGTTGTAGTTACAACCTGGGCAGTGGTGTAGCCAACATTGTCATCAATGGGACCTTTAGCGATGGAAAGTGGCACAGAGTCAAAGCTGTGAGGTAAGCTCATGAAATCCTGTCAAATGGTTATCCAGTATGTTGATCACATTCCACTTTGGTTGTTTATTTTAAATTGCCTCTCTTAGTCTTTATAATAACATATTGCATTATAGCCTTATTATAACATTTATAACCAACCAATCCGGTAGAAGTAGCAGTTGTAGGTCATTCATTACAGTCTTTTGCTACCGCAAATCACCTTTCAATCCCTGTGTTAAATATAAAATCTAAGGTCAATATTTTATTTTTATATATAACAAAAATGTTTTGCACAAATTAGAAGTTCAGTTTCTCAGTTTGATTAACTGATTTACTGTATTCAGGGATGGCCAGTCAGGAAAGCTGACTGTAGATGACTACGGGGCAAAGACAGGCAGGGCGCCTGGTAAAATGAGACAACTTAATATCAATGGGCCCTTATATGTTGGTAAGTGAAACCTCAAATCTCTAATCCCGTAAAAAGATAAAGATTAAGAGATCATTTTCACATCTGTATGTTTGTGCTCTCTCTGTTCTTCGCCTTAAGGTGGCATGAAGGAGATAGCGCTTCACACAAACAGACAGTACATTGGAGGCTTGGTGGGCTGCGTGTCCCACTTCACACTGTCCACGGACTATCACTTAGCGCTGGTGGAGGATGCTGCTGACGGCAAGAACATCAACACCTGTTCCAACTAGTGAATGACTTCGGCAGATTAAGATTAAGATAAGATTTTCCAACCGAATCATCTGATTTGTCATCTTAAAGCTCACTTACCAGCAACAAATCAGTAAAAACTGAAATTATAATTTGTGGTTGTGTTTTCTTTTTTGTACCAATTCAGATCTGATGACCCTGAGAGGATTTTTAGAAAGCACAAGTACTTTGTGAAAAGAGGGAGAAAAAAGCAAAGCATTATGTTTGATGAGGATCTTTAAAAAAAAAACATTTGAAGGACTTTTTCATTGGATGACTCTATTTGTATCTTTATTTCTTTTCTTTTTTTCTACTGTAAATCCTTATTTGATTGCTGGAAGAACCAAGTGATCCAAGGGATCAAAAGTCATCATGAACCTGACCTAGAACAGCGAGCAGAGATAAACTTCTTTTAGAGGATTTTGGTTCTAGGGGATTTCTGTTGTCTTTGTTGTTGTGGCATTTGTATTCTTGTTCGTGATGTATTATCAGTCTGTAGACAGATATTTTCTAAAATCTGATGGATGTCAGTTTTTAACAACGTTTCTAGTTTTGGAGGGTAAATACGTCAGCTACGCAAAATGTTGGTTTTAACTTTCTTCTTTTAATTCACTTGGTCTTTCATTTTGATCTCCCAGATGTTAGTAACATGAAAGTCTAATGTTGATATGGTGAGGCAGATCAAATCCTCAGTAAATTATGTGTGACATACTGTTGCTGTCATCTGACACAAACCACAGTGCTGTTGACATCAGCCTTTGAATTGTTGCTTGGTAACTCTTGATTATATTATCAAAATGATTGATCTACTTATTCTTCATGCCTGAACTTTATCCTTTAAAAGGGGCATTCTGCGAATACCCCATTTGCATCTTATGATCTATTTGGTATGTTTCTTGTGATGGTCACTCCCACAAAGCCAAGACACTGTTGTCAAAATACACTGGTTTGCCCACGGGAGATATCCCCTTGTTTCAAAGAAAGTCTGTGATGCTAATCCTGACATTATGAAAAGTGTTTCAAAAGAAGCAAAACTAATGAAATCACCATGTGACTGTGAATGTCAGCGGTATCAGCTGACTTCAGCCTCAGAATAATTACAATAGGTTGACTGTACAGAACATGTAGTATGTACCGGCTGACTTTAAAAGCTAAATAACCATAGATCGTAGAAAAATGAAAAATATTAATGTGTCGATGATCCCGGATGCTGTGTCTAAATGTCCATTTAAAGCTTTAACTTTAAATTGACGCTGCCGTACTAGTCAGATAGTGAGGGCAGGAAATCAGTCTGTAGGCCTGACCTGTGCATAGCCAAAATGGGAGAAGTAAGACGGACATCGCGAATGAATGTGCACACAAAGAAAACGTACTACTCAAGCCTTAATGTCTCCCTAATTATGTACTCCTGAAAAGGAAAGCAGACAATTAAGTGCATCAAAGAGGTGTGTCAAGAGGTCGTCCTTTGTTATGTGACTAGAGACTGATTGTTGGCGCTTTGGGAAGTATGCTTATTCGGGCTTGTAGACTTGTCCTATTACAAGATGATGAAATACGTAAAGTAAGCTTGTATATGTTTTGGTATATTGTGACACCCTCTAAATAAAGTCCAGTCAAACAGATTAAACAACTTTCTAGCCACTAACTTTTTGTCCTGGTTGATAATAACTTGTTGGTGCCCTTGACATTTTATTTGGGAAATGGACTTCTTTTTATAATGATACACTGTACAAACCATCTTGTGCTGGCTACTGTGCTTGTTATTTGATCGCTTTGTACGTGTACTTCATTAGTCTGCATTTATATGAATGAAAACATGGATGAATGAATGACTTAAGTCTTTATTATTATTATTATGTGTGCCATATCCACAGTTGTTCCCAACCTACATAGACTTCCAAGACACCACCGATTAATATAAACATGGTTTAGGGTGCTGCTCATTTCAAGAGAAGTCCAGAAACCGAGAAACAGTACCAGAAGCTATTGTACAAAAAAGTGAGAAAAAGCTCTCAATTTAACTTTGTGCACACAGAAACCTAAAAAAAACCCATGGCAATTCAAACCATTTCTTTAGTACAATTCAATATTCATAATTCGTATATTACAACCCCCTTCTGACTTTCACATTCTTAAACATTCTTGATGAATAACTTATCACATTAACAAAAAATACAAGCTGACCAATGACTGTAGAATTGACTGTTTTCTGCAGAAGCTTACCTGCAGTCAGCTTCAATTACTATTTGACCTAAAAAACAGTATTTGACCTAAAAACAATAATATGTGTTACAAATAGAGACAGTACTGCACAGGAAGAGCAAAAGACCCGCCACCAGGGAAGGTAGGCAACTGCTTGGAGGATCCTGAGCACCCAGTACGCCACTGACAAAGGTAAGAGTGCAGCAGTGGGTTGCACTGACAGCAGGAGTGACCTGATCTCTGTAAGGTGCTCCCATCAAATTCCACTCACTCCCCTTGCAAGTGGTGCAAGATTCTGTTTAAACAAACCTGATTAAAATGTGTTATTATTCTGGAAGTGAAAAGAAGAAAATAAAACTAAATGGATTATTTAAAAAAAGCGAGACAACGTTAAGTGGAGCAGATAATATACAATGCTAAAAAAAACTAAATGCTGCAAGTCACTTGAATAATTAATCTTCCATTAGGATCACATTTTTTATTTTGTTTACTCTGACATTTAACATTAATTAGCTAGCAGAGCATCCTAGTGTGTCCAGCACTGCTGACCGTGATGTGAAGGGCACTGACGGCTGACTTGTTAGTCTTAATTTGTTACCATTAAAGCTTCATAATCAGTCAGCTTGTTCTTGGGGAATTTTAAGAAAATAAACATGTTTTCTGGCACCTCTAGAATAATGTTTTAACTCTCATTTTATAGAACAATCGTTGTGGTTGGTGGTGCCAAATTATTTTATAACATAATGGTGATTAATGCTGGTTGGAGGGACTACTGTTCATTTTTGCCTAGGGCCCCAAAGAACACTTGAATCACCACTGTAGGCACTCGGGATGTCCTAAAGAGAAGCTGCTAAAAGAATGGCCTCAGAGACCTAGAAGAGAGCTGTATAGTTAAAAAAATCCTTAAAATATTGAGTTGCTAATCTATTTAACCCTTTAAAAACAAAAGGTAACATCCAAACAGGATTGATATGTTGCTTTTTTTGTACCACTTAAAAGTCTAATCAGGTCACGATCCAGTTTTAAAGTCAGAGGGAAAAATAGCACCTCTACACTGTGCAACGAAGCAATTCTGGGGAAATAAATCGTTTTAATGTCTTGAAAGAAATCAGACTGTAGTCTGCTCACAGATGCATGGAGGTGGATCGGCAGCTCTTCAGTTTTTGTTTTTCATATGATTTGTGTCATCTAGCCTTGTAAATAAAAGTTCAGTTAAACATGCTGTGTTTTTTTTCAGAGGAGAGAATGCCTCACCTGCTGTGTTAAGGGAGGCTTATTTTAAGATAAACATTTCATTGCCATTTGGTTTCTAGTATAAAGTACATTAAAACAACAACAATTAGAATATATATATAAACAACAACACCCAGCACGCCCCTGCGGGCGGTTTATCCTTCAAGCTCGGGTCCTCTACCAGAGGCCTGGGAGCTTGAGGGTCCTG